AAAAAAAAACCTATATACATATGATCAAAGCAAGTCCAAAATTGCTTATAAATAGTACTTATATGATAATATATGCGTAAGTGCTTTACAAATATCTAACTTCATCAATACCTAGGCTTCTCCTTACTTGTACTATAGCAACCAACTCTTTAATAGCTTCCTCTAGAATAACAACATTGTTAAGAAGCGTACTCAACGTGATTTCCTTAGGTTTTGATTCCTTCTGCCTGGTTTTCGTCGATTTCTTTGATGAAGAACCATCATCATCATCATCGTCTAGTAGGTCAACTGGATCATCCTCCTCATCTTCATTGACAAAATTTGCTGGAAATGCAGGCCGGATTTTGATGGCCTCTGTTTTTTGGAAATGCGTTGAAAACGGAGTGGTAATGTTGGAAGATGTAATAGGAGAAGATCTGAAAGTTAATGATGCACCAATCTGTGAATTCAAATTAGAATTTGATTCGGCTCTTTTTGGTGTTCTATGTCCTGTCATTTTTCTATTTTTCGTATTAGTCGAAATACCAGAGCCTGAATGATTAGAAGTACTGCTTCTTCTAGTAGGCGTACGTGAGGGAACGTAAGGCTGCTTGAAGAAATTTTCATCAATTTCATCATCCGCATCCAACAGGCCACCCCTCCTTTCTTTAAGAAATTGATCAAACCCTTCGATTTCGCTGCGGTAGGAATTGACTTCCTGAGTTAATGTTTTAAAGATAGTGAAAAATGGAGGATAATTAGTCCATTTCGGAGTAGTATCAATAGCTTTTGTAGCAGATGGACATCTGTCAGCATCAAAATCAATTGAACGATCATCATCTTCATCAAAGTCATTTATGGGTTTGTCATCTCCCTCAGCAATAGCATTATTTTCATTATCAGATATTCCAGGTGGTATTTCCAGGTTTTTTGCGCCAGGCTGTAAACTTTCTAAATCTCCCAAATGAGATTCTCGTCGACTATCTAATCTATCAGTACCGCTAAATACAAGCCAACCTTCTAACGATCTATAAGGACAAATAGCCAAGGCAGAAAGAACTCCAGTAAGAACTAAGTTTAACTCTGGTGAATGAGCAAAGAAATTCCGTAAAGTTCCAACGAGAATTTGTAAGAGCGAATCACCCGGATTTAAACGATCCGTCGGGCTTAAACGATGCTTAGGAACTGCCGACATGCCTTTGGATGCTCCCTTCTTGCCATTTTTGCTTTGACTGTAAGTCAAAAATCGTTGTCTACAAGATTTCTTTGAATTTGGTCTAGTAGGGCCATCTTCCGTCCATTCTACATCCAGACCATTGAAATAACACGCATCCGCTTCTATAATCATTTCTGCATCACGAACATAGGAGTCATATCCATTCGTAAAAATTTCCATGTTTTGCGGTGTTGGATCAATTGCAGTTATCAAGGAGAAGAAAAGGTCAAGTTCTTTCAAATGGTGACTGATTGTTGTTAATTTTGGTTGAGCAAAGCTTGATCCATGCGTCTCGTTGCATGGATCTTCATATAGATAATTTGGTCTAGGAAAACATGTAGCATTCTCGTCCAATTCTATGTTCAATAATTTCAAAGAATATCGACAATGTTTAGAGATGACGGTATGAAGAAGCTTTAGAGTTGCAATGACAGTTTGTTGAGATGAGGATCGCAAACGTGAAAATATTAGATCCTTGAGAGTAAATCGACCAATTGCTGTGAAATAAGGAGGAGACTTGATCGCATTAGAATCAATGCCTTCGAATAGATTTATTGTACTTTGACGTTTTGCAATTTTATTGGCAATTGGTTGTTTCCAGAAGTCTTCATCGTCACCATCAGAATCCATCAAAAAACCTACCACTACGTCAACTAATTCTTCTTGTTCCAATGTCTGCATGATAATGTCAATGTAAGAAATGACCGCGACGGCGGAACCATCTGTGTCAGAACATTCCAGAATTGATGGATATAGGATGTTTTCAAGAAAAATACTTTTGACATTTTGAAGTAAAGCCAAAGAAATATCCACATTTGGACATATATTTAAGACGTCTTGACAAAATTCCAGTAACTTTAAAAATGAATCAAGTTGATTTTTGAATTCACGTGAAGAAGAAATCACAATTCCATTTGAATGTAGTCTCTCTAATTCAGCGCTTGTATTATCACCGCCGAATCCTAACAAGGTAGCATTAGTTAACCCACCACTTGAACTTTTTACCATCAATTTGCGCGGTAATTGTGAATAAAGCGCACCCAATCCGGCAGCCATAATCTGTGCAAAGTCACTTTCAAGAATAAATTCACCTAATTGCTCATCTTTGAGCTCAATAATAAAAAGTAAACCACATCTAGCATATTCACCACTTTTACCTTCTCTATGAAGAAAATGAAGCAGATATGAAAATAGCAAAAATTTGTATTCACGCTTTTCTGGTTCTTTGGTAAACTCTGTTGTTTTTGCGGAGGTTGATTCCATCGTACAATTTGCAGATGCAGAACCATCGTCTAAATTTCCATCTTGACTACTATTTGATGAGAAGCTTGCAGTGTTTTCTGATTCCTTTTTTGGATAAGTCTTTTGTGGTGTCGTAAGCCATTGAGTATCATGAAAGAAAATATTCAAAAGTTCGGGAAAATCATGAATTTTGGAACATATAATATACATTAAATCAACAAGATCTTCATCATATTTTTCATATTTTTCTTGCAAAAGAGGACCAGTTGGCTGATTAACAGTATTATGAACTAAGAACCGATCATCCAATAAATTAATCATAAGGGAGACGGTCGGTTGATGAACGGCATTATGGACTAAAAACCGATCATCCAATAAATTAATCATATTGCCAATAGTCCGGATAATTTCGCCACAAATACCCTTTGGAACATCGTTAGTGGCAAGTTTAACCAATTCTTCGAGAATTTTATTTTTCAGGAATTCTTCTCTGCAAAGACCCGTGTTCACGTCTTCGAGTCGCATACCTTCATCAACAAGAATGTTCACCATTTCTTTGAGATGTAATGGAATGTCAGTCTGTTTCACGTCGACGTCATCGGGGAAGGATTTTTTTTCCTCGGTATTAAATTGTGACTATTTAGGATAATAGTCACAAGTTAAAATTTTCACCTTGACAGAAGCTACCATTCAGTTTTAAGCAAATCAACAATATAATAACTCGAACAACTCACTTCGATATAGTTCCATGATTCACGAAACTTTGCCAGCTGCTCGGCATCAGTAGGTTGCGCTCTATTTGGTGTTGCCTTTTTTATCTTATTTCTTAGATTTACGAAATAATCCATCTCGCCCTGTGTTTTGATAAAGGAGTGGCAGAACGTCTAAAAATTTGAACTGTCGCAAGAAAACCCCAAACTTGTATTTCTGCATGACAATGATGCAGATATAAATAAGCCATAGTAGTAACAGGGTACACAGACATGTATAATGTGATTACAAGTTATAACCAACGTGATAATCTCGAACTAAGCCAATTTTTTAACTGGTTTTAACCCACTAATTCTTGTAGGTTATAGAAACGTGTAATGGAGTCAACCAGTTACTAGCGCTAGATGAAAGACCTTTACGCAATTTTATTAACGTAAAAATAAAACAAACTGTCCTCATAAATTTATTAGTTTTTTTTTGAATGATAATTTTAGTCAAACTTTTCTCTAATTATTTGTGAAAAAAAAACCAGTTTCTTTTAGTTCAATGATTAGTCTAGAACAAGCTTTCAAACTAAATACTATTTCCAATTACGTTATTATTATACATCTTTATTCTTCAATTGCTTGTAATATTTTGCTGATATTTTTCGTGTTCTCAAATTAAAGATTTTGCTCGTCATTATTTAGATTGGTTTGAGAATTATGAGTCAATGAATGTGTTGATAATGCGAATATAGAAGAAGAGTCATCGAAATAATTTTTTACTTTGGTTTGAGTTTCATTTTGTTTCTTTGGCTGTTTTTGAAGGTATCTCCTGTGAAAAGACAAATTTAAATAGGAGTGAGCAAAAACTGTTATTTCATATAAAATTCCCATACAATCCATAAATATTTAAGGAAATTATAATCTCAACCGGTTCAAATTATCAATATTAAATATATAATAAAGTATACACATACTCTCTAGCTTGTAAAATCATTGCATCTTTCTTCTTTTGCAATAATTCTTGTCTTTTTTCGGGAGTAGATTCCCATGTTTTAGGTGGATCTGGTGGAACAATGCCTTTTTTAACTGCTTCTTGTAGCTTATATCTATCTACAAGAGATTGGTGTGTTACAGGTACATTTATCCCGCTCGTTGTTGATGATGAGGAGGCATGAGACGTCGAAGGAATTGCAAATGATGAAGCAACAGTAGGAGGTGGCTTTTATATTATATATGAATAGTTGGAAATGTAAGCATAGGTTTAATTTTAATATACAAAATGATTTCTTTGGTTACCAAGGGAAGACCACCGTGTTGAAGAATGTTGTCACAGGTAACTTCAACAGAGCCTGTCTTTTGAAGATCATACTGTACTGCGACCGGGGGAATGTTTGGAAACATTGCACATACTGTTGCGACCTGTAAAACGTTATCATGACTTAAAGGACTAGAATGACAAAAAAAATATTTGATCATAAAAAATTAGCAAACCATTTCAGGAGTTACGGGTCTTGGTCTAGTCCTGGGTGGATCATTTGCCATAATATTTCCTCTACGATTTCTTGGTGCATGCTGTGGTGTGGATCCTAAAAATCGATTTAGTCTTTGAAATATTTAATAATAAAATTATAGAAATAAAGAGTGCATTTGTACCTAAAAGCCACCGGAATACGCATACAATCACAACGATGGCAACCAAGATGCTAATCCCGTCGTTCATAGTCATGTAACGTAATTTGGTTTAGGTTAATAGAACGTGGTTTAATTATCGTCTTTCTGAGTTTTGAAGTTTAGCATAATTTTTTGGTGTATAGTTATGTGGAAATATGCACCTAAAGATTTGTTGAAAGCCTTCTGAACCATCACGTGATAAATTGTTCTACAAATCGAATATCAAAAATTTCTCGATTTTTTTATTGTGTTTTAGAACCGAGTATTCTTATGAAAAACTGAGATCAAACGATGGATCCGTATAGACCAGTTCATTATGGTAATGCTGCTATACTTTAATTTTTTTTTATTTTAAAGACAGCTAATTACTATTCTTCGTATATGTTACTGATCTTCCTTTTTTTCTTTTTTTCCCCTTTATTTTGCATTTCATTTCTTTGGTTTAAAATTAGCACCATATCGGCCATACGCGCCACAAAGCGGACCGACTTACGCACCTGCTTCTAGACCAGGTTATTTACCTACTGTTCAACCGACTAGGCCAAATTACTTAGGTCAGAGACCAGGGTATGGGCCTTTGCCTATCGGCGGTGCTCAAGGTATAGTCGCGTCTGGTTCAGAAGTTGAAAAGTTGACTACACTCTTCATTGGAGGAATATCACCGGGAGTGACAGACGATTGGATGGAAAGGATTCTCAAGGTAAAAATTGTTATTTATTATTTTTAGTGGACGAAAGATGCTACATATTACTTTCTGTCAACAAGTTGACATAATTTTACCAAATCGATAAGACCCAAGGGAAAGTAATTACTATTGAGGCACGATTTGGCAAAGGCAATTTCTTAAGAAAATGGGCTATTAGAGGATGCACTGACTTTAACAGGAGGTTTGGAACAGAAAATGATTTTTTTTTTTATAGCCCAAAAGGAAATTTTGAGCTTCTTTTATGGCAGGATGCTAAATTATCTCTTTGCAGATAGCTTGCGCAAATTGCCTTATAAAAATCAAACCAGAATAATTTTGACGTGATTATTCTTTATTTATTAACTGATCTTTCGTGTTTTATTCCATTTATTCATTGCTTTGCGCCTGAAACATTTAAGACATGCGGTTCGTTAAAATCTTGGAAACGTGTCAAAGATCAGTCCGGAAACCCTAAGGGATTTGGTTTCGCTGAATATTTAGATGCAGATAGCGTTCTTCGTGCGTTGCGAGTTTTGGGTGGTGAAGGGCCTGGTGATGATAAGAAAGATAAAGGTGTTGCGCTACCCGCCCTAGAAGAGGGTGCTGTGGGAAAAAAATTAATAGTGTGTTGGTTCTTTCATGTTTAGGATAAAGAATTTTTTTTTATATTATTCATCAATAGAAATAATATTTAATCAATTTCAGGTTAAAGCAGACGAAAATACCAGAAAATATCTTGATCAATATGAAGCATCAAGACCGAGAACTGTGGTAATAAATTATTTTTTGTATAAAACACAAGGAAAAAAAAAATCTCTCAAATTCTCACATATTAAAATAAATCCCTTTAGCATGATACCGAACTCGATAAAAATGCTCTCATATCTGTCATAACCGTCATACAGAATATGACAAAGCCTCAAGAATCTCGAATGCCGCATGATAATAGGTCTGGAATTCGAAAATCACCAAATTCCGAGCATATCGATCATATGGAGAAGGATGATGACACTGATTTACCTGCTGATCTTCCTCCAGAACAAAAAGATCTAATATATCGAGAAATTGCGTTTTTCCGAGAGCGTGCAGCAGCAAGAGAAAGAGAAAGACAAAAGGAAGAAGAAGAACGAGCAAATCGGCGGGCTAGGATGGAACAGGCTAAAGAACGATCTCATAGAAGAGATAGCAGAGAAAGGCAGCAATATGGACATTATCATCAACCTGTCAACTTTGTTCCCGCTAGAGAATCTAGACGAGAGTCCTATGCATTGGATGATGAAGATGAAGAGCAAAAACGTCAGGCAAAAAGGAAGACAGAAATGGAAATGGCTTTTAAAGAGGTACTTTACTATTTTCTATTTAACCTAAATGCCTTGTGTAATAAATTATTAAATTTCGATCTTCATAAAGAGGGAACGACGTTGGCAACATAGGGAAGAAACCATGGCAGCAAATCGTGAACGTGAATTAGAACGTGAAATAGACGCAAGAGAAAAGCAGATACGTGATCGTGAATTGATGGCAAGAAAATTAGCGGAATGGGATGACGATGTTGAGGCTGAAAGAGGGCAAGAAGAATACTATCGAGATCGGTAAATTCATTGTAAATAGTAAAGCATATATTGTTGTTTTGCATTGGTAAAAGTATTTATCGCATTTTTGTGCAGAAACCGATGGTGGTTCCACAGACAACAATATCGAGCACGTGAAATGGCAATGGATGAACAAGATAAACTTCGAGAGCAACAAGAAATTGAGTCAGAATTACGCCAACAGGAATGGGAACGAACGCTTGAAGAGGAGAAAAAACAACGTGCTGAAACCACAGAGGCCGAATCACACGAAGAGAAAGAATTAACACCTTTTACGACCAATGGATCTTCGCAAAGTAGTACAAATATCAAAGCGAAACTTACTTTAAACATTGCTTCAAAACGGCGTGCAGCATTAATGACGTCAAATGAAGAAGAGGAGGAAGATGAAGAAGAACTTGACAATAAAAGGAAGCGTAGAGTGTTAGTTCCCTTAGAGTATAGTGATGATGAAGACGATGAAAAGAGAACTGAAGATAGGAAAAGAAGAATTAAAGATTTAGTGGAAACTATCCCAACGGACAAAGAAGGTTTATGGAAATGGAATGTAAAATGGGAAGAATTAGATGAAGTAAGTGCGGTCTAATATTTCTTTTTTTTCGTTCGAACATTGATTTTTTCATACCATTGTCAAATAAATTACAAAATTATGAAATAATATCTCGTTATACAACAGAATATTCTTAATAATAAATTACAATCGTTCGTTAGTAAGAAGATAGTGGGATATCTTGGAGTTCAAGAAGATGAATTAGTTTCTTTCGTAATGGATCATTTGCGCAATCATAAGTCTGCAGAGCAATTAACCAAAGAAATGGAAATGGTATATTGATTCACTTCTTTCTTAAATCTATATTAATATATTTACTAATATTCGTGCTCAACAATTAGACATTGGATGAAGAATCTGAACTTTTTGTAATGAAATTATGGCGTATGCTTATTTATGAAACCGAAAGCAAAGCCAGAAAATTATGATTACGTAACATTAAAATTGTAAATGTGCATAAATGCCATTGCAAATAAGCACACCTAAACTTTATTTGTATAAAATATATGCTATGAATAATAATAGAACATATAATAATTGACTATATATGTTGAAATTGTATTAACTACTACGATCTACAATAGAAGTTTACAAATTTAAAATATCATATGATCCTGCGAAGTTATAAATTGTGTTACGTTCTCAATTTTTTAGTCCGAAGTAACATGTCACCCCCTGCAAATTATGCATAAGTACTTGATGGTAGCCAAAGGTGATTCCGCAACATATTATATACTTAAAAAGCAATAAAGAATTCCTTCCTTTTTTTTTTTTTTTTTTTTTTTTTTTTTTATATAGGAAAGAATCACCTTTCGCTACTTATTAATTATACTAAACGATGGGCGGCTGGGAAAACTTATTTAAAACCGCTGCTGTTGACTATAATAATGGAAACCTTAGAGTATGAATAACTTTATAGTTTTTTTTTTCATTATGCTAGATCTCACATTTGTAACCAATCTTTTATACAAACAGGATTCGTATAGTAATTATTTAAAAGTAGCTACTGCGCTGCTCTACAAGTTTAATAATGAGGTTGCTTTTGCCAATAAAGGTACTAATTAAGATAGCCTAATCTAAACTTAATTTTAAATCTAACACGGATTTGTATATTATTTAGAGGCGGTAAAAACTAAGCCAGAAAATAGCGCCAGACTATTTCAACACCTCAAAATTTGTGTGCAGAGACTTGAAGATATCCTTCAAAATAAAGCGATAAATGGAGTGTCTCCAACTCCGCAACATTCAACTATTTCAGATAACGCCGCTTTAATTCTTTCAAACTCGCACTCGGTGCATCTACCGCTCGTTCCTTTCTCTCCACTTACTAGGAAATCTATTCAACACGCCCATCAATTGACTATTTCAAGCCACCGATTATCTGTTGCCGAGCAAAAACTCCCAGAAAGCAATAAAGAGGTAGAGAATGTTCTTAAGAAATTAAGGGATGAAGTCCGCCAACAGAAAACGAAACTTGATCAAGTCAATAGTCAGATTCAATCAATTGCCGAAGTTACTTTGCTTCATTGGGATGCTGAAGCAGTTGCGCAACAGTTAACCATAATTGACTTTTCATTATTTAATAAAGTAGATTTCAAAAAAGATTTTTCAGCAAAAGACAAAAAGAATTCCAAAGTGCAGGCTTGCATGGACTTCCACCGATATTTAACTAATAGTTTTGCTCACCAATTTATTTATGCAGATATGGCCCGGACGGCCGCAAACTCTTCACGTGGAGCTCAGCACCCACGAGAAAGTATTATTCCTCATGCTATCAAAGTGGCCATTTATTTATTAAATGTTCATCGTAATTTTAATAGCTTTGCTGCTTTGGTGAAAGCACTTACTTCCCCTGAAGTACGAAGGATAAGACGTTTATGGTCTAATATTCCTGCTCGTGTGAATCAATTACTTAAAGATTTATCATTATACGTGAAGAAAGATAATGATTATAAAGCTTATAGAGATATTCTCGCCCAAAAAATGGAATCTTTTCGTGGAGTTGGTCAGGGAACGATCGTTATTCCTTGGATGCAACCTCATTATGAAGAAATAAAGAGTATAAACCAATCTTATACAAGTGGAAAGTCAGGAGATTCGTCTGACTTCATCCTTTCGGCACCTGGTGCACGAAAATTAGCATCTATATTCGCTCTTCTTGAGCAATGTAAAACTAACACAGTAGCGCATGACGATGAAGAATGGAATGAAGTGCGAAAAGCTGTAACATTATCACAACGTCATAGAGATACAATTACAGTTGATGGTGTAACAGTCACATTACCTACGGATCTTTCACGTTTAGGTTGTGGTGATTTAGAGTTGCATCATTGGCTTGTATCTAGAGTCTATTTAACTAAGCAACAATTAATTGATGAGAGTATTGAGATTGAACCTTTATGCGAGAATGAACAACTTCCTTGTGAAGAAAATGATTATGAAGAGGAAGAGGAAGAAGACGATGATGATCATGGCAGTGTGGGTCAATTTGATATTGGAAGTGACGATGGTGACAATATTGAAATCGGTTCTTCATCTAAGCATGCCTTTGCAAATAATTCAACACCATCTCTTACCAAAATTTCTCAGGATAATTCAGGAGAGCAAAACAATGAAGCATTAGAATCCTTGAATAAGCCATCTTCTTCTAAGGAAATGATTTATGCTTCTAAAAATGAACAAACTACTGGTGACAGCGTGTCCACATCTGTTACACGTGAAATTCCTAAAACCGTTGAAAATGGCAAACCTGTTGGGAAATCTTTAGAAGAAACGCCATATAACTTAGAACCAGTAAAGAATGATCCTGTCACTGGTTTATCAAACGGTAAAATTGAGGGATCATCAACCGCATTCAGTTCTAAAACTGTCGCAATTCCTATTCCTCAAGTAACAAAGGAAATTCAGCCTATTTTATCACCAAAAAATCTAAACCCGAATGCACGTGAATTTATTCCTAAAAGCTTAAATTCTAGTTTATTAGCAGGTGCGGGAGATAAGATAAATGTCTCATCGAAACAATTAGAGGGGATGAATAAAAACCATAATTCTGGAAACGAGTCATTGACAAATAAGGATGATAATGATGATGATGTATTTATATATTGTCCTAATAGTGATAATGAAAATAAATTAGATGACGATAGTGAAAATAAATTAGACGAAGAATTTATCTATGAACCTAATTCGCCCAATAGCGTTAAAGATAGTAAAGAGAATGAAGAAGATCAAGACGATTTTATATATTCATTTGATAATGAATTTATTTATTCCGAAAATAGTTCTAGCGATAATAAGAAAGACAATATTGCAAAAAACGGTATTGGTAACGTTATTACTACTAAAGTCGAAAACACAGAAAATGGTGGTGTTCCGGAAGTTATTACGATCAAGTTTCATGGCAATGTTGTGAACAAAGATGCTTAATTAATATTTTCTTTTTACATTCATTTTAATTATTATATATTTGTTTAAATATTTTGGGATTTGTGTATTATGGCATATATTCGTATATAGTATATTGTCGTGCTTTTTGTTTTGTACGACAAGATTTTGGCCTTTATTTATATTTATGTATCCAATATATTGCATCTTTTTATTAAACCATTTAAGATGCTTGTTCTCTCATCCGCAGTCCAAAATCTATTATTACATTACATATGAAAATGGTGATACAGAATTTTTCAGATGTGTACTGTCATGATTGTGTAACATCTAGTGATCTATCATCGAACGTATAAAAACTCCATCACCTGTAATAGACTCGCGTTCAATCCCATTATGTCTAACCCAGTATATGTTGCAAATTGCATTTTCTGTAGAATCGCACAGCGTAAGGCACCATCGACTTGCGTTTATGAAACAAAATATTCGTAAGTTTAGTTATACCTTCAAACTTCATGTGAATTATAAAATTTACGGTTATCCCAAAAATTTACAGTTACGCCTTTTTGGACATAGGCCCTTTGTCGGAAGGGCATACTGTACGTAGTACATAAATATATCATTTGGCCAAAATATTATATTGCTTCAATTTTAATTTGTTTATTTCAATTTTAATTTACGATTTTAATTACAATTTACAATTTAACAGCTCGTAATTCCAAAAAGTTCGTTTGTGTTTTAATTTATTTTTATTCATTTTATTTATCTTCTAATTATAATTTTGAATTGGTTTAGCTCACGCTGAATTTCTACATGAGCTTTCCGATGAATATTTGGCCGATTTACTTCCGGTTGCAAAGAAAATAGCAATCGGAACTAAGGCTGAGCACTATAATATATTACAGGTAATAATATAACAATGATATTACCAGAGAGATTACTATTTAACAGTTTCTGCTTTAAAATTTTTAAAGAATAACGGAAAAGAAGCACACCAGGTAATCTTTTCTATAAAGCAATTACCTTATTAATCAAATATCCAATTTTAATTTAATATCTACAGGCAGTGGGGCATGTACATGTTCATGTTGTATGTTAATTTATTCTTTAAATAAGGATATTTTCTTCAAACTTTTCATTTCATTTGATATTTGTTTTCTTGTGTACAGATCCCGAAACCAAACCAAGAAGAAGGTCTAGGAATTAAATGGCCTACTAAAGAAGTATCACCAGATCAACTGACTCCTATTGCTCAACGAATTATTGAAGAGATTGAAAAAAATAGCCAAGAATCATCAGAAAAAATCTAGTTATTATTTGCAAACAATTCCGGAGACCGTCAAAATTTTTTAAGATATTTTTTTGTGATCTTCGAAATTTATTGTAATAAATTCACTTATTGCTATATACTCTCTAATTGACCAAACAGCATATAAGATCAGGTGTAATGTGACCATGTCTTGTATTCTGATTGATCAAAGATTTTATTTGATATGCTGTGTTACATAATCAAGTAATCCGATTGAAATTTATCAATGACCATCTCTAACAATTCTTAATATATAAATATATATTGTTGAAGCGATCTAATGTTGGCGTAAACTAGATTTGTTGTTATTGTAAAGCTATCATGCCGTTCAAAAATGGTATAATGACAAAGTGGCAGATTCGTGATCAAATTTGCTACAGAGGCATAAGTAATTTCTGGCAAGTAGCACCTAGTGTGGCAAATAGTGAGAACTTATTATTTATACAGTTATATGAGCTAATCTACTAAATAGAATTTAGTACTCCCAAAAATTTTGAAATAGTTTGGAATCGGATTATTTTTAATATGTTAAAACCGATTAAAACCGGTTCCAAACTCTAATTTGAAATGGTACGATCAGTGCTGGAAATCTTGTTCTCATGAGAACATATCTTTAAATTTGAGAACATTTGATATTCTGTAAATTCTATGAAAAAAAAATTTGAGAACATAATATTCGAAAAATATGGGTGAGTCAGTAGAAACGCACCATATTTTTTCTAAGTAAATTTTTTAAAACTTTAAGCAAGAATAACTTGACAACAACTTAATCAAATTAATAAAAATTTTTTTTAAACTAATCCTAAAAACTTGTAGAATTTATTTACTAAATTTGAATGTTTATGCTAAGTTATTTTTGTTTAAAGATTCAAAAAAATTTCATTAAAAAAATATGGTGCGATTCTACTGACTCACCCCCATATGTTCTCTATATAATATAAGTATAATAGCATAATGCCAGATGGAAATAAATAGAGCAAAGTTCCGAAATCATCCGAAAAGAAATGGATGAACATAAAAGACGAGAGAAGGTTGGGACAAAAATGCTATTAACAACCGAGTGAAATAGTGATGGCGCAAAATTCGGCGGTCCTGTGAATTTTTATCAAATCCGATTTTAAGATCAGCGTGTAACATATAGACAAAAAAAAACAATCACAAAAAACATAAATTTGCAAGGAATTAGCATTTTTGCTATTAGTAAAAGTTTCTGCACAAAATTTGATATATTCTTTCTATATACTTGTATTAATGCAAACATTAATTTTTAAACCATTGTTGTTTAATTAGTCACGGGACCGCCAAATTTTTGCGCCATCACTATTCTTAACCTTCAAAAATTTTCAGTAACACGAAATTTTGGCCAATAGATTTAATAGCATATATGTCGATTTATATCTCAACAGCCGCCAAATACAGTCAGGGAATATACCATATTTGGGGGTCCGCTAAAGCCTTGTACCCACGTGACTTTTCCTATGTAGATCAGCCAATCAAGATTATGAAATTTTG